GAGTCCCTTGGATTCCCAATTAATTTTAGGATAATTCCCCAATACTATTCACATCCATGTCAAGGTTAAACATTTCTTATATCACAATATGCTTCTCGAAAAGTCTCAGTGTATTGAATATCTGATTTATTTACACATATAAGTTATAATATAACATATAAATAGGAGGGATATTTATTATAGAACATATCAGGAACTCTTCTAAAACCTTTTGTATTCACCATTTCTTCAACGAGGTCTATCCTAGAATTTTTATTTCTGCAAAGTCTGTCTTACAGGGATTAAAAGGCAAAAAAAACACACAAAGGGGCTGGAGCTATAGCACAGTGGGTAGGGCATTTGCCTTGCATGTGGCCGACACGGGTTCGAATCCCAGCATCCCATATGGTTCCCCAAGCACCGCCAGGAGTAATTCCTGAGTGCAGAGCCAGGAGTAACCCCTGAGCATCATCAAGTGTGACCCAAAAAGAAAAAAAACCCCCACAAAACCCTCTCATTCACTTGCTCATTTAAATATCATAGCAAATAATAAAAAAATTAGGTTTTTTCCTGAAATGAAGGCAAAGTTTACTTAAAAATATGGTCATAAAACTGTTATGAAATAATCTCACTAACACTTGCCAGCAAATGGTCCAGGCAGACCAATTAAACAAAAATTTTAGTTTAAAAACATACATCAGCCTTCCCATACTTTTTGTCCTTTTAGCAAAGAAAAGTTAAATTCTGGTCTTATTCATACTGAAGATATGAATCAAATCCTTTTAATAATAAGGATTTAAGATCCTATAACAATCCAGTTTGACAGTACAATTTTTCTAAAACATAATCCTCAGAGCTTTCTCACATTCCTTTATATTTCCCTTACACAGTTTTGCTTTAAGACAGAATTATCAAGTTGGAGTCATGATTGAATTAATCTAGTATCATTATCCTATCTGATAATAATAATCAAGGTAGGATAAAAATTTTGTATCCAAGTTGGATCCCAGTGACCCTCATGTTCAAACAAAACCATTACATTTTCAACCAGTCCTTATTTATCACAAACATTTTGACCAGATATTCTAACAATTCCATCTGGAAGCAAAACAAAATTAGGGCACCCTGGAACACTAACCTTCATTCAGGTAAGAAGAGCTTTTTCCAGTTTTTATTCAAATTTCAGCTATTTATACAACAAACTAGTTGAGCTACTTATATTTGTAAAAACACAATACCTTTCTTTGATTTAATTTCAACGATTTAATTTCAATAGTTCTACATATTTTTATTATAACTCCGTGATTTGCCAAGTTGTTTATAACACCGTTGATTCAGCCATTAAATATTCTGACACTGGGGGGCTGGAGTGATATAGCACAGTGGGTAGGGTGTTTGCCTTGCACGTGGTGAACCCGGGTTCAATCCCCAGCATCCCATATGGTCCCCCAAGCACTGCCAGGAGTAATTCTTGAGTGCAGAGCCAGGAGGAACCCCTGTGCATCATTGGGTGTGACCCAAAAGGCCAAATATATATATATATGTGTGTGTGTGTGTGTGTGTGTGCGTGCGCGCGCGCGTGTGTGTATTCTAACACCAATCCCACCACCAATGCAACCTTCCTTCCACCAGTGTCCCCAGTCTCATATCCACCACCCCATCCTGCCACCAAAGCAGGCATAAAAGAATTTATTTCATATGTTTGTTATAACACAAAGACAAATGGAACCATCACGACTTAGACTGATAAAAGTTTGTTTGTGATCATTGTTTTGTCTCATAACGGAGTCCCTGAAGTCCCAGAGGACCAGCCATGTCACTGTTTAGGTGCAGTGAGCTCGGTGGCCTCTAAGTAACTTTCCCAGCAGCTTTGCTGTGATCTGTACTTCATGATAGTCCTGGGAAGTAGAACTGGGATGAATTGGTGGTTTGACCATTCACTGAGGTTCAGCTGTGGAGCTGCACGATTTTTTAAAAAATATTTTTTAATGAATCACCATGAGATGCGGTTACAGACTTACAAACTTTTGTGATTACGTTTCAGTCATACAATGACCGAGTACCCATCCCTCCACCAGTGCCCTAATGTTCCCAGTATCCCTCCTGCCACCCCCACCCCATCACCCTCTTCCTCTGTGGCAGACACATTCCCTCTTTCTCTCTCCTTCTGGGTGTTATGGTGTGCAATTCAGGTACTAAATGGCCATCATGTTTGGTCTGTAGTCTACTTTTGTGAATATAAAGTCACAGAATGGGAGACTAACACCCAAGGATAGTAGAGATAAGGGCCAGGAGGATCTCTCCATGGCTTGGAAGCCAGCATCACATGCTGAGGGGAAAGGCAGTTGGGATGGAGAAGGGTCCACTATGCTGAATGGTCTCTATGTCAGCGGATGCCTGTGACTGTGGACCATGGGGCAGTGGGGTCGTGGGGAAGAGAGGGGAAATCTCTCGGCCCCCTGGCAGAGAAGGCCCCCAAATTGTCAGCCCGGACCAGTCGTCCTAGGAATGTTGACCCGTGTCAGTTTCTTCTGAAGCTTAGCTGTGGCACGGAGCCTTTCTCTGTTGGCAAGATGCTGGGTGCCAACAGTGCTATATTTCTGCTTCAAGTTTGCTTCTCAGAACTGCTGAAATCACGGGACCAGAGCCCTAGGCTCGCTTTGCACACAGCCAGCCTGGGTTCAATCCCCAGATGGGCCCTAAGTCCTGCCAGGATGGAGCTCTGAGCACAAAGCTAGGAGTAAGCCCTGAGCACTGCCAGGTATGAGTTAAAAAAAAAAACTGCTGAAATCAACTTGCAGCTTCAGGGCATTTGACACAGAAATGGGGTCTCATGGGAGCAGCATTTTGACCCCGAAGGAAACTCCATGGATGGAAGCTCATAATGTCTTTCCTGGGGATCAGCTTGCAACACCTCACAGAGCTGAGAAAGACGACCTGGGTCCACGCTGGAGCCCTGATCTGGAGCTGTTCAGAGGCGGGTGCTGGGTACGGGGCAGGGAGGGCACAAGCCCTATCACTAGTATGGACTGAATCCCAACCAGAGGCCTGTGACAGCTCAGACCTGCAGCTGGTGACACCCCGTCTCCAGCGTCCCCTGTACGTGCCCTGACTTCCCAGCTGATGACAGAGGCCTGATGGCGGAGGGGCCCAGCCATGCCCCTGCCTCTGGCCTTCTTCCAGGCTATCTCCAAGCGTTCTCTGGAAGTCCTGGGGCCTCGGTGGCCACAGTGGGGGAATAGGTGACCCCTCCACAGAGGGGGACAGCAGGGGCTGCTGTAGCCTGAGAGAGAGATGGGGATGTGTGCCCCATAAGCCATGAATAAGCTCTCTGACCATCAATGGGATGACTTAGGTACCAAAAGGAGGGGGCACCCGGATTTGAACCGGGGACCTCTTGATCTGCAGTCAAATGCTCTACCCCTGAGCTATGCCCCCTGGCATGTCCATGTGGCCTGATGAGCACCTTTGCTTGTGAATCCCTGTCACTGGGTGAGTCAGGTCACTCCCCTGCCCACTCTCAGAAGATGCCAGACCTGTCTCCTGGGAACCTCCTGAATGCCAGGCCTCAGGGCAGTGGGGTCAGCAGAGGGCAGAGATGGGGTCTCTGAAGCGTCCCCCTTCCCAGGGCTTCTGTTGCTTATATGAGGGTCTTCCCAGGCCTTCTAACTGACCCCACACTCCTACTTGCACCCAGCCCTACTTCCGTTCCTAAAGGAGGACAGAAATGACTCAGATTCGAGTCCCGAGCTCAAGGAGTGGGGTGTGGGGTCCACACGCACAGGAGATAAGCAGGCTGGTGGCCTTCGAGCTGGGGGGACGCAGCAGTGCCCAGCAACACCGTGCCCAGGTCGGGCCAAGGCTACATCCAGGTCTGCTGGGCCCGCCCTGGCACCCACGTCTCTGTGTGTGCAGGAGGCTGAGGGGGACTTGGGGGGCTACTGTCCCCACAGCTCGCTTTCTGCTTGCCCTGTAGGGGCCCGAGTGAGCACCCCGCTCCCGGCTTCTCCGTCCTGAGAGGACTCAGTGCACAGGAGAGGGAAGTCAGATATTGGGGGGCTGAGGGGGAGGGTTCAGAGTCTCAGGGTGGCAGGGGGCTGTGAGCTCAATTGCTGCCGTGCAGGGCTAAGAGCCTCAGATCAGGCGGGAATGTCCTGTGATTACAGAAGAAAGAAGTGGCAGGCGGCTGGTGGACACCAGCCACATTTAAGTGGGCGGGAAAACCAATACGATAGGGGGCACCCGGATTTGAACCGGGGACCTCTTGATCTGCAGTCAAATGCTCTACCCCTGAGCTATGCCCCCACACCTGTATGGGACTCTCATGAGCACCTTTCACCCCAGAGTCACTCCCAAACTCCTACAGTTCAGAGCAAGTTTCTACTCTTCTCTCCAGGCTGGAAGCACCTTCCCAGGACTCCTGAATGGTCCTCCACCAGCTGCCCTGGGGTTGCCATGGTTGTCCCATCCCTCACGGAAACAGCCCCTCCCACCTGCTTCTGGCCTAGCTCTCACGTGGCTGTGCTCCGGGAACCAGACCCAGGCCTCCACCATGCAAAGCCCGGGGCTTGCTCGTTGAGAAATCTCCCTGGTCCTCCCATTGCTTATTAAAGTCTAAGTTTAAAAGATCATAACAAAAACTCTGCTCTGTCTTGCTCCTGGTCCCTGAATCAGACAGGTGAGGTTTTTTTTGTCTGTTTGTTTGTTCTTATTTATTTTTTGCTTTTTGGGTCATGCCCGGCAAATGCACAGGGGTTATTCCTGGCTCTGCACTCAGGAATTACTCCTGGCGGCGCTCAGGGGACCATATGGGATGCTGGGAATCGAACTCAGGTCAGCCGCGTGCAAGGCAAATGCCCTCCCCGCTGTGCTATTGCTCCAGCCCCTGTTTGTTTTTAATCAAGCAAATTTCCTCTCAGGGAGTTTATTCATGACACTATTTTATTTCCTTCCTAAAACATGGATTGTTCCATCAGTCTAACACAGCCCAGGATTTCCGTCTTCACAATAAAAGATGAAGCTTAGAACTGGGTCAATTGTCCCTTTCTCTTTTTCTCGCCTCCCAGTTCAAAATGCTCACATCTCTTGATGGCCAGCATTCTCTTAGATCTGCAGTTGGGCTCGACACATTCAAGTCTCAACACAATCTTCTTTGTAGTTTTAGCCTTTTTCTGGAAAATAGGCTTAGTTTGACCACTCTGCTTAGTTTGACCGTAACCACTCTGCTTCCTGTCATAACGACGTTTTCCCTGGGCATACAGAGAATCCTTGCCCTTCTTGTACTGTGTGACTTTGTGGGGCTGATGTTTGCCACATTTCTTACAAAAAATCCGGCGGGTTTTCTTCAGTACGTTCAACATGCTTGCAGCAATGGTGTCCGTGAGGAAACTTTTATTTTTAATGTAGGAGTATTGCTATTTATTCGGCCATTGATTAAGCTGACTGAAGCAGGCATAAACTTCACATTACTTTTAAAAAAATTTTTTTAAATTCAGTATTCGTGAGATAGACCATTACAAAGCTGTCCACGATTGGGTTTCAGTCACACAATGATCCAGCACCCATCCCTCCCTCAGCGTACATTTCCCACCATCAATGACTCCTGTTTCCTTCCCACCAACCCCCAACACCCCCCACCCCAGTTTCCTTCTATGGGAGGCACTTTCCTTCTTGCTCTCTCTCTCTCTCCTTTTCCTTTTGTGCATTATGGTTTGCAATACAGGTGCTGAGAGGTCATGGTGTTTGTTCAGGTCACTCAGTATTTTTATCAGGACAGTAAGACTGGAGTGGCTTTTTAACTGGGTGGCAGCTTTGGGGTGTGGATGTGACTTTAGAGGCTTCCAGAAGTACAGGGAGATGTGGGGAGGTAGCCTATGCCTATCCCGAGAAAGCCTGGAGATTTCAGTCACAAAACCCGCATACCCGAACTTTCAGCTGATTATGTCTCGGTGAGGTTCGTCCTGAGACTGTAGAGTCAGGCCAGGAGTATGGCAGTGATTTTGGATTGTGGGAGCTAGCAGTTGCCGCGGGGCTTTGCTTGGGTGGGCACCAGGCTGATCTGCCCCCTACCCTGATTTACCCAGATCTGTTCATCCATGCAGGGGTCCAAGATTAACTGCTGCATTTGATCTCTTTTTGTTTGTTTGTTTGTGGGTCTCAGAGATAAGGCAGATAAATGAGCTTGTATAGCTGAGCCAGTGGTGGTTTGTGGGCACATAACTAACTTTTGGGCATTTAATTTCTTGGTAAACTTGGTCCTAAGTTGTTGGGGTCTGCCAAAGGCACAGCAGCAATTTTGGGGTGTCAGGAAGCCTGAGGCAGCATCAGCCTGCTGATACACTCACCCCACAGGTACAGGTTGACCTATGGTGCCACCATACCCCTGTTGGGTTCTTTCTTGTAATCTATTTGCCCCCATGATTTCAGATAACTTCACCTCTTACAATCTGCTCTAGCTAATCACTCTTCACTTTTTTAAAAACATTATTTAATTCATAATAAGCGTCATAAAGTAGGGATCTTTCCCTGCCTCCATCTTTATTAAATCGTTCTCTATGTTTCTTGGATATGCATTAATAGGCATTGACAACACTATTTAAAATTCACCCCTGAAGTTAGTGATCATCTCAGGTCCTAACTGCTTTGTTCATTGACTATGCAAGACTTCCCACAACATTTAACGAGTGCATAAAAAGAAAGAAGCAGGTCGGGGGATTTGGGGTCACACCCAGCGATGCTCAGGGCTTACTCTTGGCTCTGTGCGCAGGGATCACTCGTGGCCAGGCTCAGGGGAAGTATATTTATGCCGGGAATAAAACCCAGGTCAGCCATGTGCAGGGCGACCCCCTCCCTGATGTGCTACCTCGCTAGCCCTAAGTGCAAAGTGTTTGTAAAATAATTTTCCCAGGGAGATGACTCTCGGGGATCGGACATGCCCATCCTTGTTTTCTGTGATGTCACAGCTGCTGGCTCTGGAAATGCCGTAGCAATTTCACAGTGATAGACTTTCTTCCTTCCCTCCCGCTGTCCTGGATTTCCAGTCTGGAATGTGTCTCACAAAGGAAGCCTGTCAAATGAATTGCTTTCTTTAACAAAAAAAAAAATTTTTTTAATCCGTTTTTGAGCCACACCGGTGGTGCTCAGGGCTTGCTCCTGGCTCTGCACTTAGGAGTCACTTCTGGTAGTGCTCAGGGGACCATACAGGGTGTCAGCAATTAAACTGAGGGTGGCTGTGTGCAAGGAGAGCACCCTACCCACTGGACTCTCTCTGTCTCTCTGTCTCTATCTCTGTCTCTGTCTCTCTGTCTCTCTCTCTCTCTCTCTCTCTCTCTCTCTCTCTCTCTCTCTCTCTCTCTCGCACCTCAGCTGCTTTTTCTAAGAGTTATAAGAACTTTTATGTCTGTGGTGTCTCAAATGACCCGCAGCCCTGAATAACAGTTGAATGACCATATCAGGTGCCTCAGACCAGGGGACTAGCCCGCAGTTTGACGTGTCTCGCCTGCCCTGTGCCTCTCGCCTGCCCTGTGCCTCTCGCCTGACCACCTGACTCATTCACTCCGGAAACATTAGGAGTCCCCTCGGTCCCGGGATCTGGAACCACAGGCCAATGTCCTCGGCAGGGGCCACCTTTTACCCTTCATGCTGGTACTTGCAGGATTTTTCTAGAGCAAACCATGTCCATCGAGGTGGAAAACTTTCCAGTATCCTGTCACCTCCAACATTTCTCTCTCTCTCTGGGACTTTCAGAGCTGGCTTTTGCACTTCCTATTTTCAATTTTATCGTGTGTACGTCTCTGAGTGTCTAGACTATGCTTCTTTTGTTTGTTTCATAGTCTGGAAAGCTGCCTCAAACGCTGCTCTCAAAGGATGACAGAAGCTGTCTGTCTTTTTTTTTTAATTTTAATTATTTTTTAGAGCGTTACAAAGCCATTCATGATTGAATTACAGTCATACAGTGTTCCAACACCCATCCCTCCACCAGTGCACATTTCCCAGCACCAGTGTCCCCAGGTTCCCTCCCATCACCCCCCACCCTCACCCCTTGCCTGTCTCTATGGCAGGAACTTTTCCCTTTCACTCTCTCTCTCTCTCTCTCTCTCTTCTCTCTTTCTCTCTCTCTCCCCCCATGTATCCCTGTCTCCCTCTCCCTCTCCCCTTTTGAGCATTGTAACATGCTTCAGAAAATCAACTTAACTAAGGAGGTAAAGGACCTGTACAAAGAAAACGACAAAGCGCTACTTCAAGAAATGAAAGAGGACAAATGGAAACACATCCCCTGCTCATGGGTTAGGAGAATTAACATTTATTTCTTTTTAACGAGGAAGTTTGCTGTTCGATGATCCTTTTTCATCATATCTTCTTCCTACTGCACACCAGGCCGAACTTCATGTCCATCACAGGACCTGCATGCATGCTTACTTGGGGAAACTGAGGCATTGCCACACAGCCTGGGTGGCTCCCCCCAACCTCCCCCGAGGCCTGCATCCTCTTGCCTGCAGTTCAGAGTGGGACCACCGGGGGACACTGTGACACAGGGTTGGGTTCTGTGCTCATCCCAGGAGCCTCAGGTCCAGACTCGCCCTTGCTGATGTGTCTGTGTAGACCCTGCAGAAGGCCCTGGTCAGGCACACACGTGCTCCGGGCTTCCGGGAACGGTGCTCCCAACTCCCTTCAGTGGACACGGATGGAGGGTCCCCAGAAGCGTCTGCAGACTCAACCTGTGCTGAGTAACTCAGAGACAGAGATCAATAAGCAATCTGGGAGATGCACCCCAGGCAGAGACTATGCTGGAGATGAAAAAATAATCAGAAAATTCCCACTCTGAACGTGCTGCTTTGCACTAGAGAGATGCAGCCAGTCGCACCAGGGCAAAAAACAGCCCCGAATCATGGGGCAAATTATTCTGAGCACTGCCATGTCCCCACAGCTCACACCTGACGCAAAGGCCACCAGCCCACTCTGCTTCTGTCACAGATGGAATGTTCCTGTGGCCCCACAAAACCCGCTCCTGCGGCTGTGACTCTCATTCAGGTCACTTCCAGTCTCACGGAGGAACAGAGGTAGGACTGGGGTTCATGTTAAGCCCTGAGCAAAACCAAAGAGGCCATGGAAAAGGAGGGGGTTGAGATCTCTCCTCTACCTTCTGCTGACCGCCCCCCCCCCCGCCCCCAGTGCATCAAGGAGGCTCCCAGGAGACGGGTCTGGCAGCTTCTGAGAGTGGGCAGGGGAGCGACCTGACTCACCCAGTGACAGGGACTCACAGGGAAAGGTGCTCATCAGGACACATGGACATGCCAGGGGGCATAGCTCAGGGGTAGAGCATTTGACTGCAGATCAAGAGGTCCCCGGTTCAAATCCGGGTGCCCCCTCCTTTTGGGTCCTAAGTCACTCACTTGAAATTTAAGGGCCCCACTGATGGCCAAAGCGCTCCATTCATGGCCTGTGGCCCCCCCTCCCCCGAGTTCCCTCTCAGGCTACAGAGGCCCCTGCTGTCTCTCTCTGAGGGCTCACCTACCCCACTATGGCCACTGAGAACCCAGAGCTGCTTGGGACATCTTGGACGTGGGCTGGGAGGAGATGAACTGGATAGCAGGGCTATCCCTAGGCACCTATGCCCTGGGGAGTCTGCCACTAACAGGGAAGTTGCTGTGGGAGTTAGGCTGAATCCACCCCCTGAGCCTGGGGAGGGTCTCATGGGGAGGGGATGAGCAGTAGGTGATTCCTTGAGACATCATGGACCAAAGGAAAAGAAGACACAGTATGGGAAAGAGTGGCTTTGCAGGGGCCAGAGAGATAGTGCAGTGGGCAGGGAACTGCCTTGCACTTGGCAGACCCACGTTCAGTATTTGGCATCCCATAGAGTTCCCCAAGACCAAGCCTACCAAGCATGGTCCCTGAGCACAGAGCATGGAGTACGTCTCGGGCACCACCAGGTATGGCCCAAATAAACAAGAAAACCCCACCCCAAAAAGTCACTTGGCTGGCACCATCCATCTTGCTTAAACTCTAGTGAGCAGATTGTTTCCTTTGGGGGCAGGGCAGGGGTGTCCATGAGCACCCTGTCAACTTGCGGGGCTGGAGGAAGTGTCACAGAGGGGACACGTGGGCCAGCCTGGCTGCTGCACGACCATCTCTGGCCTGTTTCAGGCACAGAACGGATCTCCTTGTCAGCGAGGAGCTTTATCACAAGAAGCTGCAGCTGGGTCATGTCAAACGCCAACGTCTGCCACATGGACTCAGGGCCTGATGGATCCTGAGCAGGTGTGGAGGGTCCTGACGGTGCCTGTGTCTGGCTGAGTGCTGTTCCCAGCAGCTGCAGCTGTGGCCGTCTGCACACTTTTGCTGCCTGGCCGTGTCTCCA